GGAGGGAGTTAGTGCACCTCTCATTGGTCGGTTATCGAGTCACTTGATGTTGATCCGGTATTCAACTATTAAGAGGAGCTCTAGGCCCATGTCAGCACCACCCCCACTTGTCCGAAACTAACTCTATGGAATAGCCTGTCACGTGTCATACTTCTTGCATTAAAGGAATTTTCAGATTGGTCCACCAGCACCCCCTGATCCGTCCTTCTATAGAAAACAAATGTTAGTGTTGGCAACAAAACAAGCGTTCGAAACCCAATCAGGACCAGCTCTATTCGAAAGGTATCGTTTCTTTGAGACACTGCGGTATCCTCAAAACTGATTAAAGTCCTAAAAAGGTAATGTCTTTGGGCGTTGATCAATCCCATCTGAGAGGTGCGCCCCCACATTCGACTTCCGTTTGGAATTGTAGTGACGAACGTAATGAGTGGGGCCTATACAATGATTTGCAGTTGCCTGCCGATGTACAAGTCGATGCTTTTATCCTCATAGACGCGTCTAATACCAATTTATCGACCTCGGAAGGGTGGGAGGCTCAGTTAGTCTGGACGGATATTAAGCCAGGATTCGAACCGAACCTGTGACCATGTGTGTGTGGTAGTGCGCCACTTGCCACTAATGACATCTACCCTAGAAGGAGTCGCTATACCCAAAGTTTCATCATTTTGAACTCTAAAATAGAAAAAAGCAATAGTTATTTCAGAGGAAGTCGTGCACTGCCTCCAACAACGAATGTCGTTCCGTATGACATTAGCGTTGATCCCAACTATCCTGTACAGGCTCCTCGTGCACGAGCATTAGCAGATGAATTCACTCAAAATCAGGTTGACGAGGAATTTCGGACAGGTTATCGATGGAGATCGGTAAGATTTTGAGAATAAATGACGGTATCAAATGAAATAATAAATAAATAAACAATAATAAATTAGAGTACCGGCTTGCAGAATCCTGCACGAACCTTAACACTCTACCAAAGCACCGGAATCAATCAGAATTGGCGGCGTAGCCCCATTCGCAGCGGTCAACAGTCATACGGATTCTTCCCAAGCCGGTCCTATGCCGGATCCCATTCTCCGTACGGTATAGCACAGGTAATTACTGTGATTTGGGAAATAAGTGCAACTACCGTTGAAAAAGAAGCGAATATGATGACTCAGACATGTACGAGCAACTCCCGACACTCCCGCAAAGGGTCCCCCTTCCGTTGCCCATCTACGTAAGGCCAAGCGGGCAGTGGGCAGTGAATTTGGTATGGAGTAAGACACTCACTTGGAACTACCCGTCTTTAGTGCAGCACTGCTTCACCCGATCCGAAAACTCGAGAAAAATAAAGTCGATCCTCCCAATATCCTGTCAGCTGATTATTAATATATCCAACCAAACACCTATACCCTCGTAAAATCGTATTTTCATGAAAATCCAAATTAAAAACATCGCGGCTTCGATGTCCATTACTGCTGTTTGACGAGTTTGGGATGTGGCTGTTCTAGTACAGTCAAACAATGTCCTATACGACATGTTGTCCACATATGTTTGTCAGCACACCCTCATACTTCCTCCAGAATAGATTTTAGCCCCGCCCATAGAATGAAGACCGTACTATGCACAGTGGACATCCATTTTTCCGCTGTTGCTGTTTAAAGGCACCGTTTACAATAAAGTTAGGGTACCCTTTTTTGACGGGAATTGATAGAACTACTCTAGAATAAAGCGATAACAACGAAAAAAGCACAAAAAACGATGAACAAAAAGAAATAGAAAGGGTCAAAAAGAGCTGTAAAGGGGGGTTGGACGAGTTTCACATTGGAAGAACGGCGGTTAAGGGAGTGTTCGGGCGAGTGCACGAAGGCGACGCAATGTCTGCAATAGCAGACAACACACCCAATTTGCCTGACAATCTGACCGGCAGACACTGGCAATTTGCCAACCAGCTTATCGATT